AAAGGTCCAATGATTACGCAATCAACGTTTGACCTACAGGGTGAACCACAGGGAGCTCCCATAACTTGTAATTTTGAAGTTCCAGGAATATCAACTGCATGCATGAATATATTTTAGGGTTAATAAAAATCACTCATAACTATAATGTAAAACTATTTGAATATAAACGTACGTTTGAATTATGAAATGTGATGTATTGATCGTAATGTATGATTACTTACACAATATTATACTAATAGTAGTAATTAGATATGTCAAATTAATATATGCTGAGTTAATGAATGAACATGTTATTCATTCGTCTAAAATTACTTGAATACTGAAATAAGAAAAAGAAAGTTTAAAGTTACGAACCAATAGTCATAGTCAAGAGAAGAAAGAAGAAAATAGTAAACTTGTTGACTGAGGCCATATTTGCAAACTAAAGCTAATTTGGATTGTACTTAATTAGCAGAAGATTAATGTGTATGTGTGTGGTGATTTCTTTCACGGAGAAAGGATCATATTTATAAGCCCCAAAGTACACTAATATTAATTAATTAAATGTCAATATATGTTGAATAACTCGAAGCTCACATGGGCATAATATTATAAAATATATATAGCTATAATATATATCATCAAAATTCATGGTAATCTTTTCGTATTTTTCATCCGCTTTGACATAAAAGAGTCGAATTCAGCATTTGTAGGTTATACGAGTGCCACAAATTTTTAATGTAGACATATTTCAATTACCATGATCTAAATTAGGTTATATATTTAGTCAGTTTGATCATGAAGTAGGCAACAAATAAATGACAAATTATATAATTAGATATACGTACTTTACTATCATATATATTATTATTATTATTATCTATATCTTTAAAATATTATGTATCTTAGTATACTAATTAAGAGTTTCCTACGTATCTTACACTTAGATACATGTATTTTTGCTATCAGATACACAAAAATATGGAGAGAGGCGAGATTGGGGATCAGAGGGAGGCGATCGGGATTCATATGTATCACAGATTAGGGGTGACAATTGGGCGGGTTGGGTCAAATATTTGGACGGGTCATCATAATGAGTTATTAAGACAACAATCGGGTCAAGACTCAATCCAACTCAAATTTGCTTGGGTCAAAATGGGTTAGGGAATGGGTTATATTACGGGTCAAGGCCTAACAACTCATTTTTTACTAAACTTAGAGTTTGTTTGGATTGACTTAAAAGCTGGTCAAACCTACTTTTAAGTTATTTTTAGCTTTTGTAAGTGTTTGACAAAGTTAAAAATAACTTCCTAAAAATAAGTTTAAAACCAAAAGTAGGTCTCCCCCTACTTTTTTATTTTTTGACTTAAAAGTTACTTTTTAAGTCAATCCATACGGACTCTTAATTGTTTTATTTTTTCTTTTAAACTATTTTAGTACCTAATAAAATTATTTTCTTCTTTATTATAGCTATATACAACATATCAAAAAAAAATTAAAAAGTTTTTTAAAATTATTTCGATAATATTTTTCATGAGCCAATTCGGGTTATATATCAACCCAATTTTTAATGGTTGAAATGGGTTGAGCATGAATGAGCGGGTTGGACGGATTGAGTTTGATTTTGTCACCCCTATCCCAAATACATGTGAATCACACGAGAATCAATATGTTGTTGATGATAATGATGTATTTCTGATTAAAATGTTTGTATTTAGTTTCCGTTCAATAATGAATTAGTAAGTTTGGTGTGAAAAAGAGTATATTGTCTTCACTCCTTATGGTATTCTTGTTATGCAATTTCTCTTAAAACGAACAACACTAATGTTTCACCATAATTATTTAATTTCCTTCTGCCCTTAATTAATTACTTGATCTCCATCTTTTTAGGATTTAATTATATGTTTAATTTTATAGTTCTGACTTCCAATACCAAATATTAATTAGTTTATTTTATGAGCTTTTAAAGTTACGTTGCATGTTAAACTCCATCGTTATGTGCAAAAGCATAGGCGGAGCTAAAGGGCGTTAGTCCGAACCCCTTTATATATTTAAAATTAAATATATATATATATATATATATATATTTATTCATATAAAAAAAAATTAAGAAAAAACGAAATTGCTACACTAGGTTTAAACTATGTTGACAATTTAAAAATTTTAAAAAAAAAAAACTAAAAATAAACATTGTCAATATATATGACTCAAATCAAAATGTCAGTATTGGAGTTTAGATTAAATTCGGATCATGCATGTACCATTTGAGGGTGGCGTTCTTAACATGATTTTCTCCATACTCAGAGCTCAACTCGAGACATGTGATATAGAATGGAGCAGTTCCACCACTACACTACAATAATCCATGTTGATGATTAATTAAAAAATCCTCGATTTTCATTAAGATGGCAATGTAATTCAATATTTGACCATACTCTATTTTTCTCTTGCAAACATGGCTGCACTCAACAAGTTTTTTATCGTTCTCTTCGCGATAACTATTGGTTCGTAATTCAATTTTTTTTTGTTACACTTCCTTGTATTACGTTATAATTGGATTCTTATAATAATATTTTTCTTAATATATACAGTTGATATGTTTGGAACATCAAATTTGCAAGTGATGGCTTTACGAGACTTGCAAATCAACGCAGAATTAGGAACAATACTGAAAATGAAGCTATTTCCCGATGTTAATATTTTGGGAGGTTGTTCTAATTCTTGCAAGACTAATAGTGATTGCAGTAGTGATGGATTTACTCTATGCAAATGGTGTTGGGAGAAGACGGACCTCTATGGTGATAAATACAAGTCATGTGGCGTATTGCCTTGAACTAATTATATATGAAATATCACGGATCAAAAATTAATATCGGTATCTGACGCTGTTATAATAAGTTTAATTTCATGTAATTTTTATTAAGAGTACATGTGTACGTACACTCTGCCCTCTTTAGAGTGGGATGTTATTATTATTGTTGATGATAAAATCGTTTGGTTCAATAATGGAATAATATGTTTGGTGTGATAAAAGAGTATATCGATCGTCGGATTAATTTTATGGTGCCACTAATAAACTTAAAACAATTGTTGGAAGTTGTAAAAAATACTCTCTATCAAAGTGTGCAATCAAATTATATCATAAGTAATAAATGTAGTTTTTAATTAATAATTAGGATTATTGTTACTACAAGTTATATTAGGATTATGTTATATTAAATTAATATTTTATTTATTTTGTCTTGTATTTACTGTATTTAGAGAGAGAAAAAAGGGGTGTGATCTTAATATATACGCATCTACATTTACATCTATATATGGGGTATAGTTTTTGAACACATTTAAACACGAGAGGTGCAGTAAACTTTCTATTTTTTATTCTATTTTAGAAAAAAATTCAAATAGGGATGGACCATTAATTAGTGAGTTTTTTTCCTGTATCGTTCCAATTTTATCGAATGTCCCCGTAGGGATCATTGATTAGTGTGTTTTTGATTGTGAAGGATAAATTTGTTTGTCCTTGTGTGATAAGGTAAGACTAAATCTCCTTCTGGTACTATATTCAAGCAATATGACATTCTAACAAAAGTTCAAGATCAATCCTTATAATATTCTTTTTATGTAATTTTCTTCTACTATTTTCTCATCGCATAAGGCCTATTTAAAAACAAGCACTTCGTATATGATTTATTTCATTCACAGAAATAGAATCTAAAATCTTTAACTAAAAATAAAGATATTGTATGCATTTATATTTCATCTTTTTGTGATGGTTAGATCACAATGTCAAGATAATGGTGTTACTGATTATTATATGTTGGATATAAAATAGAAAACTTACATAAATTTCACTAGTTTAGGAGTTAATTATTTAGATATATTCTAATTTGTAATATTACGTATTTTATCAAATTTTGGTTTGTTCTGATACGTCTAGATACATATATTTCGGAATATATGGGAGCAAAATTAGATGTAATTTATTCTAAATACATTGTATCTAAGTGGATTCTCATGTATCTTGGTTACATAACAAATCTCGCTCGCCTCCCTCACCTATCTCTCATCTTGCTAGCCACTCTCCTATGTATGTAGTATCCCCGATACATGTGAATCACACCAAATACATACAAACACATGTATCTAGTGTGCTTCGCATGAATCGAGGATACATAACAAAAACTCGCTCTCCTCCCTCTCTATCTCGCACTACAAAAGAAAGTGCGAATTACATGGGATTTTCTTGGGGATTAGCATGAATTCGATTCTGTAAAGCCGCATGGGTTTCTTAACGTCTTAGCTATCTACCCATGTGATCAAATTCATAATTAGATTCCCCATTCATTACCAGATTTCCCTAGACCTCACCCGACTCAGATTTCGTCCAAATCTGGACTAGGCTAGGAATTCCCAAGTCACTACTCAAAAGTTTTCTGGCCCCAATTCTTTCCCCATTGACTTTTCCCTAACGACGGGAACAAGTCGTTACAATAGAAGTGTATCTTCTTCAATATATGGTAGAAAACTCTTAATTAGTGGTAAAATACGTAATAATTTGAAAAAAAAAATTAATAATAGTATATATGATAGTGAAGTATGTCTAATTACGTAGTTTCTCGGATATAAAATACATGAGTTCCTTCTGACCTTAACTAATTACTTTATCACATTAATTTTTCTGATTTTTTTAATATTTAATTTTATAGCTCTGACTTCAAATAATCAAATATTAATTCTTTGATGAATTGTACATCTTACATGTTAGGCTTCCTCATTTAGTGCGAAGAATTATTTTTAAAATCCCCATATTTTTCTAGGGTGAAATTTTTTATTAATTTTCAACGCTTCAATTATAACTAGCTGCAATTTTATTTTTTTAATATGCAACGTGAAATGAACTCTCTTTATTTAATTTAGAAAAGGGCCATTATAGTAAGCATTTTAATTTAATTTAGTGCACCGGGGGGCTTATAAATATGATCCTTAATTCTCAATGAAAAAAATATAATCACCATACTCTATTTTTTTCTTGCAAATATGGCTGCAGTGAACAAGTTTGTTATCGTCGTTGTCCTTCTCTTCGCGATGACTATTGGTTCGTAATTTAATTTTTTTTGTTATATTCCCTTTATTATTTATTTAGTCTTACATTATAATTGGATTTTCTTATAATAATATTGTTCTTAATATATACAGTTGATATGTTTGGAACGTCAAATATGCAAGTGATGGCTCTTCGAGATTTGCAAATCAACGCAGAAAGAACAATAATGAAAATGAAGCTATTTTCCGATGTTAATATTTTGGGAGATTGTTCTAATTCTTGCAAGACTGATAGTGATTGCAGTGGCGGATTTACTCTATGCCAATGGTGTTGGGAGAAGACGGACTTTAATGGTCGTAAATACAAGACATGTAGCATGTTGCCTTGAACTAATTAATATATATCACGGATCGAAAATTAATATCGATCTCTAGTGTTTCTTTCAATAATAAGTTTCATGTATTTCAAATTAAAATGTTTGTATTTCGTATCCCTTCAATATTAATGGAGTAATATTTTGGTGTGAAAAAGAGTATATCGATATCCTCTTTGAATGGACTTAGCCAAAATTCTGGAAAATATATGCACACAAAAAACGTCCATAATCATTAAATTTTTTTTGATGATCTTAAAACGCCACAATATTTGTTGTGGTGTAAATTTGTTTCTACAAATAAAATACTTTAAATTAAAGAATAAATTTATCTTTTAAAAGTAGAAGTAAATTTGTTTTAGGTTTTCTTTATTCGTTGGTGCCCTCATTCCATGAACTGACGCATTATATTGTAGTGCATTTACTAAAAAATTACTATTATTTCATTGAAAAATGTTCGAATGAAATATATATTCAGACATATATTTTAATTGAATTTTTGGAAAAAGCAAAAAATAGTAATGTTTTTATACAAAAAAAAAATAGGAAGTTTCTCACTATTTCAATGAAAATTTGTTTCCCATCATGAATATTTTCTGTGAATTGGTTTGGTGAGAAATAACTGAGAAAATCATGATTTTATATAACACAAATTTTTCAGTAATTTAAAATTAAGAAAAAATAAAAAACCTTTTTTTCCTTGTAGTGAGCAACAAAGAAAGTTGTTCCCACCATTATTGATTCTTCATATTTCAGAACCAAAAACTGCGAAGAGGTTTTAACCAACCTGGCTTAACCAAGTTGTAACTTGACGTAAAGTATCTCAACTCACACATATTTTGATAAGATTTTTTTATTTTCAAGTTGGAGATTGATACGTGCTGACTACTGGTTATATAAATTAATTTATTTATTTATCACACATGCAATATAGCTTAATTTTATGTATTCAAGCTACTAGACTGATTAAATTTACTAGCAATAGTACTATTTCATTAACGTCCAATTGCCAACAATAATACAACGAGAAAGAAAATACTAAAGGCGGACTAAGACCTCATTTGTTTGTATTTAATAACTAAAATTTAATTAACTAAGATTATGAAATGTATTAAGTGCAAAAACTAAAGACTAAAATTGGAATAATTAAAATTCAGATATTCATTAAGTGTAAATAAATAATATTTTGGTTCGATCGATTAGTTGCTTTATAATCATTTGGCCATCTGGACCTACTGTCCAAATTCATCAATTTGAGTGATTTACAGATTATTTTTTTTTATCTCCTTAAATAGTGGACTTGAACTTTTAGTCCTGCTTAACATTGAAAAATAACATTTGTTTCGAAATATTGAGCACATAATAACTAGAACTTAGGTCGATAATGGGCGACATATATATATTGCCCAAACAATATTTTTAAGTTGGATCATTTTTAAAAGATTTTGTTATGTATATATCAAAAATAAAAGTTCAAGATCACTCCTTATCGTATTCTTGTTATATTCTCATCGCGTAAGATATATTAAAAAAAAAAACTTTCTTTACATGATTTTCTTTTAATCCACGCAGCTCGAATACAATATGTCTAATTTAAAGATGAAGATAACAATATCCATCCCATTATATTTTATTTTATTTTTGGAGATGCATGGTTAGATCAAGGTGTCAATACATTAATTAAATCCTTGAAGAATGGAGAGTTGAGTATATATTATTATATTATTTATATAAATATACATGAGTTCCTTCTTTGCAAGTTCTTAATATTAATAGCATAAATCAAACAACACTAATGTTTGACCATAATTATTTAATTAATTTCCTGCTGCCCTTAATTAATTACTTGATCTCCATCTTTTTTGGATTTGATTATATGTTTAATTTTATAGTTCTAACTCCCAAATACCTTTTTTTTTATGAGCTTCTAAAGTTATGTTGCATGTTACATGTGTGAAAGCATAGGCGGAGGTAATTAATCGGCGTTAGAGTTCATCCGAACCCTTTTATATATTTAAAATTAAAAAAATATAAAAAAAATTAAAGATTTCATTAAACCTTAAGAGAACTGTGTTATGCATTTGTATATTTCTCTCTATTCCATATTTTCATGCTACAACTTTGACTTTTTGTTAGGGAATTCATTCTGATGAAAACAAACGATTAATGTAATTAAAGTTAAATATTTATGATAACATTAGTTGGGTAACCCAATAGAAGTACGTAATACTAACTTGCTACACTAGATTTAAATTATGTTAATATTTTGGGAGGTTGTTCTAATTCTTGCAACACTAATATTTTGGGAGGTTGTTACTACAAGTTATATTAGGATTATGTTATATTAAATTGATATTTTATTTATTTTGTCTTGTATTTACTGTATTTAGAGAGAGAAAAAAGGGGTGTGATCTTAATATATACGCATCTACATTTCCATTTATATATGGGGTATAGTTTTTTAACACATTTAAACACGAGGTGCAGTAAACTTTCTATTTTTTATTTTATTTTTAACAAAAATCAAATAGGAATGGGCCATTAATTAGTGAGTTTTTTGGTGTATCGTTCCAATTTTATCGAAGGTCTCTCAAGGGACCATTAATTAGTGAGTTTTTGATTGACTGTTTTGTGAACGATAAATTTGTTTGTCCTTGTGTGGTAAGGTAAAGACTAAATCTCCTTATAATATTCTTTTTGTGTAATTTTCTTCGACTAGTTTCTCATCGCATAAGACTTATTTAAAAACAAGCACTTCGTACATGATTTTTTTCATTCACAAAAATCAAATCTAAAATCTTTAACTAAAAATGAAGATATCATATTCATTTCATCTTTTATCTCTTTGTGATGGTTAGATCACAATGTCAAGATAATGGTGTTATTGAATATTATATGTTGGATATAACATAGGAAACTCACATAAATCTCACTCTTTTTGGAGTTAATTATTTAGATACATTCTAGTTTGTAATATTACGTATTTTATCAAATTTTGGTCTGTCTAAATATATTTTGATACGTCCATATACATATATATCTCGAGGTATATGGGGTTAAAATTAGGTGTAATTTATTCTAGATACATTGTACCAAGTGGATTCGCATGTATCTGGGATAAATAACAAATCTCGCTCGCCTCCCTTGCCTATCTCCCATTTTGCTACCACTCTCCTATGTATGTAGCCTCAATACATGCAAATCACACTAAATACATACAGATACATGTATAGTGTGATTCTCATGTATCGGAGATATATACATAACAAAATCTCACTCACCTCCCTCTTTATCTCGCTCGCTTCTCTCCCTATTTTAGTGTTTATGGTAGCAAAACTACATGTATAGAAGTGTATCTTCCTCAATATATGGTAGGAAACTTTCAATTAGAGGTAAGATACGTAATAATTAAAAAATATTTAATAATAATATATATCGTAGTGAAATATGTGTAATTACTAGTTTCTCCAATATTAAATACATGAGTTCCTTCTGCCCTTAACTAATTACTCGATCACATTTTTTCTGATTTTTTAATATTTAATTTTATAGCTCTGACTTCAAATAATCAAATATTAATTCTTTGATGAATTGTTAAAGTTATCTTACATGTTAGGCTTCCTCATTAAGTGCGAAAAAATATCTTATAACTGGATTCTTATAATAATATTGTTTTTAATATATATATATACAGTTGATATGTTTGAACCGTCAAATTTGCAATAATTTGAATTTTACCAGATTTTGATGTGTAGATATGTCGAGATAGATGTTTTTTGAGATACATGGAGTCGAAATTAGGAGCACTTTATTCTACATACAATGTATCCTAGTAGATTCGCACATACCTAAGATCCATAGGCAAAATCTTGTGCGTCTCTCTCATATGCATCTGCTATTCTAGATACATGTGGATGACTCAATATACATAAAGATACATGTATATATCTAGTATGATTTGTATTTATCTTGAATACATGACTATTCCCTCCCCATCTCTAGATAGATGTATTTTTGCTATAAGATATAATAAAATAGGGAGAGAGACGAATGAGATGGGAGTCCAGAGCCAAAAGGGCAAAAAAAAAATTATCAAAAATTCCAAAAGGGCACATCATATTTTTTTTAAACCAAAAATTCCTCTGACACATATTAACGTCGTGTACTCCGTTAAAACTAAAGTTCGCTGTCAGGGCAGCGATTTTTGTCCAATTTTTTTTTCTTTTTTTTTCACTAAAATTGCTGGCACAGTAGCGATTTTGTAACTCTAATATTTTTTTCCTCCAACTAATATCGCTGCTATGGCAGCGTTTTCATAGAAAAAAATATTGGCAGCTTTTTTGGAAAATCGCTGTCATGGCAGCTTTTTTGGAAAATCGCTGTCTTGGCAGCGTTTTCCATAAAAAAAAAAAAATTGAAAATCTTTCTTAATTATTTTTTTAAAATTTATGAAAGAACAATTATTTTTTGAAAAAATTGCTGACAGAGAGCCTGATTCCACCCAAAATGTTGGACTCGACGTAAAATCATCAAAATGAGGCACGAACTTTAATCGGTGTCGAATTAGGCTGTCTTTTCAATGATTTTTGTTAAAAAAAATTATTTTTTAATAAAACGCTGCCTTGTTTTCAAAACGAAAAAATAATAATTAAGAAAAAAGATTTTTAAAAAAAAATTGAAGAGAAACGAATTTAAAAAAAAGAAAAAAATTAACTAAAAACCTGCCAAGGCAGCAATTTTCAGCCATTTGGCAGCTTTTTATAAAAAAAAAATATATATATATATATCTTGAAATCGCTGCCTTGGCAGAGATTTTGGAGAAACAAATTTTTTTAAAAAAAAAAATTGCTGCCTTGGCAGCGATTTTGGCAGAAATATTTTTTTGATTTTTATTTTTTTTTGAAATTTCTGTCAACTAGTCAACATCTGATTGTAAATTTATTTATTTTAAATTCGTTTGCTAACAATATTAACTGGTTGACAGAAATTTAAAAAAAATAAAATCCAAGGCAGCGATTTTAAATTTTATTTTTTTTTACAATTAGATGTTGACTAGCTGACAGAAATTTCAAAACAAAAATAGTTCCATCAAAATCACTGCAAAGGAAGCGATTTCTAAAATTAAAAAAAAAATTCCACAAA